CTGACTATGCTGCCTACAAATGATTGGGAATACTAGGTGCAGCCAAAAGGAATGTGTAACTTGTTGTTCTGCACTAGTTTTAGATTACATCTTTCAAAAGCTCCAGCCATCAGAGGCCAAATTACAGAATTATGGGTACTACTACTACTACTACTACTACTACTACTACTACTATTATTATTATGAATCATCGCACAGTCAGCTAGATGTTCAGACTGGATTTGGCATTTTGTCTACCTATCGAGTCCTTACCCAGGACCTGGGATAGGCAGATGTGGATGTTTGATGGTATTACAGATATCATCGCAGGATGGAAGCAGTTCCTAGTAAGACCACCTTTTGCAATTGACTAATAGCAAATTTGTCAATGCCAATGGTGTTCAGGTGGTGCTCCACTTGTTTTGGGATTGCACCCAAGGAGCCTATTACTGTTGGTACTACCCTTGCTTGCTTTTGCCACAGTCTTTCTAATTCTATTTGTAGGTCTTTGTATTTTGTTATCTTCTCCAGTTCTTTCTCGTCTATTCTGCTGTCTCCATGCACTGCCACGTCCACTATCCAGACTACTACTACTACTACTACTACTACTACTACTACTACTACTACTACTACTACTACTTATTATTATTATTATTATTATTATTATTATTGATCATCGCACAGTCAGCCAGATGTTCAGACTGGATTTGGCATTTTGTCTACCTATCGAGTCCTTATTATTATTCAAAACATCTAGAAAGCACAAGGCTACCCAAATCTAATGGACTCTTTACTCAACAATTCTCATCTAATCAAGGAGAGAAGCAACCTAGAACTAAGGAGAAATTTCCTCACAGTTACAGTACAACAATTAATCTGTAGAACAGCTTGCTTCCAGAAGTTGTGGGTGCTCCAACACTGGAGGTTTTTAAGAAGAGATTGGACAGTCATTTGTCTGAAATGGTATTGGGTTTCCGTTTTTAGCAAGAGGTTGGACTAGAAGACCTCCCCCCCCAAGGACTCTTCTAACTCTGTTATTCTTTTTATTGTACCCTATACCACAAGCACGAGTCTATCTCATTTTGTCAGGTTCCCTAGCTGCTGCTTAGCAACAGTGAAGCCTGGTAAGGGTGGCGCTATTTGGAAACAAAATCCTACAGTAAAGCATCTGCCTGTTCCTCTGTTGCTCTTCTTTTCAACAGCATTGCCCACTTAAGAGAGGTTTGATGGCGCTCCTGAGAACCGGAAGACAAATTACATTGCAGTTCATTTAAGAGTTTCTTTTCCCAGGAAGCATAACAGGAGGGCTGTGTTTGTATTCTTAAGCAAATCACGGGAAACAATACAAATTCCCAACATCCATTCTTTATTATTTGTGACTACAGTTGCTTCTCCTGTGTCTTGTGAGTTCACCTCCATATTTTACTTACCTTCTTTTTCCACATATATTTATTTATTTAGATTTTAAAATCAGCAGTGAGGCAATGACATCTGTTTTCATTAGCTAATTTTCTAATTTCATTGAAGACTAGATATTTCAAATCAGTTAAGTGCCACTCCAGAAACTTATATGATCTGGAAGTAGATCTTGGTAGACCTTGTGGCACATTTTACATGCATAAAATCCATATATTAAAAGATAACTGTTTAATACCACTTTTAAACAGCAATCAACTGTTCAGAATTCAAAATTATATTCATTTCTAATAATTCGGTATATAACCAAGAATCTGCCATATGCTTATTTGTTTAATTTAACTTGTATTTCCCCCCCCCCCAATAAATGGTGCTTGGGGCAATTATCTACCAAGAAAATGTACAGTAAAACATAAAACCAGAACCAACACATAAAAAAGCTCTTTTTTATACATTTATACATATATCCAATTGGCAAGAGCCAGTTAAAAGAGATAAATGCCTATTTGTGAAACTGATAAATAGATTAAAAGAGGGAACATGAGACAAAATTAACAGGCAAAATAGAATAAAATCAAGGAAGATAGCCTACTATTTTTAGAGAATTAAATGTTTAGAATGGCAGAACAGCATAGCATAGTGTAAAACTGAAATTGCCTTAAACCTAAACAAATTAATTTCCACTGGGATGCAGTCAGTTCCTTTACAGCTAACATATTGGATTATCACTTTTTTAAAACCTCAGTGTGTGAGACAGACAGCCAGTCTGTCACTTGATACTTCGATGTGGAGGGCAAATGGAATTTAAAGCAAATGGTTTTCTCTATCTGAGTTCCATTCATTTACCATTCCCATTGACAGTTGAAACCACCATTGTTTTTGGACAATTGATCGTATTTTTTTTTTCATGGTGGTAGAAACTAGCTTCTATCTGAGGTAGAGAAAGAATGAAAGCAAGAGCAAGAATTCAAGAAAGCACTATTTCCTGGCGACATTATGTCCACTGGTTCAAAAAAAAAAAAAAGGTGGAAGAGACGGAGTAACTGGACAAGAGGGATAGCTCCACTAGGTGACAGGACATTCAAGTTAAAGTTAGGCATCTTCCTTCCAGATTCTAGAAGTATGTCCCAAACATGCTTTTTCAAGAGGCAACTGGACTTTCAATTTCAACAGCCCTTTCTCAACAGAGGGGGAGGGGTATGACATCATCTATCTCCAGTTTACAGCACGGTCCTTTCAGCAGTTCCAAGAAGGCTCCACACCCATTTGCACTACTCAGGTGACCCTGAGGACACAGATAAACCTCCAAGTGGCCTCAATGGCTCCCTAAAAATATACAAATGACCAGCTGTCTGCAAGGAATATAAATCCTTCCATTCCCCACCATCCAGTCAGAGCTGAAAAAGCTTCTTGGATGAGAAGCGAAATATCTTCAAAGAAAAACAAGGAAGTCCAGTTGCCTCTTGAAAAAGCACCTTTGGGTCAACCATGTCCTGGATGACCGAGAATCTCCATAGAGATTTTAGAAGTAGCAACACCCTTTTTATGACTCTCTAATCCCTTAATTCGGGGTAGAGTCGGGATGACTGCAACTAAAAAGACAAAAAACACTGTTATCCTGTCACCAGATGTTCCTCTAGTAGTGCACAACAGCGAGAAAGCCTGAGATAGACTGATCAAGTGCTTTTCATCCCCATTTTATCTGTAGGATAAATGATCATCATATCAGTGCTTACATGCAACATTTGCAATGGAGTGTTTATTCTTCTTTTTTTTGTACACCTTGTTTTATTAAGGATCAGCTCCCAAGTATGGTACAAGTCAAAAACTTTTCTCAAATTAGGAAGCGTAATTTGAACAGGAATTGGTGAGGTTGTTCTAGTATTCTCCACCTGAATCCTTTGCTATCATGGAGCACAAATATGAAATACAAAATTTTGGATTGTCAACCATGCCTATAGGCTATAAGCTCTTGAGAGAGCCACTTTGATATAAATCACTTTGGTTTAAGGCATCAGGCTAGAAACTGGAAAACCATGAGTTCTAATTCCAGTTTAGGCACTGAGTCAGCTTGATGGTCATGGGTTAGTCATTCTCTCTCAGTCCTAAGAAGCAGGCAGTGGCAAGCTATTTTCAAGAAAGATGACCAGGGACTTGTCAAAACAGTCATCAGGAATCAACACTGACTCTTAGGTGCTTCGCTATTCAAGCTCTTACCATTAGCTTGGGTTAAGGGTCCTACAGACAGAGAGATGAGTTGTACACTGAAATAATACAATAGTACAGGAGATAAATGAAACTAACCAGACTAATAAAGTCTTACTCCTAACATTCCCATCATTTATACCCTTACTCGTCAAATAGGAAGTGTGGATAAAAATAAATGAGCTAAATATATCCTACTCCTCATTCCAACTGCAGTTTCATAAATCCTTACCTGGACATAATGCCCATTATACTCAACAGGAGCTGCTTGTCAGGAAACAGCTGAAGCAATTCAAATAAGAGTAGAGTAGACAAATGCAATTTATGTCCAGACACACCAATTCAAAGCTAACAACCTCAGGAATGAACTCTCGAGAAGACTTAGCTTGTAGGGACCCACCGGCGCCAGCCACAGGGAGGACAAACGTCTCCCAAAATGTTCATCCTTCCCAACCAGAGCTGAATTTACGACAGGAGAACTTGAAAAACGAAAGCAATAACTCGCGGCTACCTATTTGCACTTCCAGACAGGGGTTTCGTTTTTGCTCAAGCCATCCTCTCCCTCACTTTCTCCAGCCGGGCGCTAGCCATTTAAATTACAGGGAATCTAAACCGGACTGCTCTGATCCTGGATACGCTGACACATTGGGTGTGTGTGTGTTCTAAGTAGTATACTGTATTCCGGTACACCCAACTACGAGTAACTGGCGGGTGGCGAATCTCATCATCCGCAGATGATTCCCTTCCCTCCCCATCTTTCGCCGCAGAGTTGCAAGTCTTCCTCTCGGAACTGAAGGCTGCACGTAGCGAAGTTACGGAGCAAGGGGAGAGAGCGGAAAGGCGGGGGGCGCGTTCCAAAAGCGCGCCCGGCTGGCAGGTCTACCACTCTGAGGAAAGCTCGGAGTCGGGGGTACGGCCGCTTTCTATTGCCTTTTTAAGGCGCAAGCGGGAGCTTCTTTCCTCTCTCCCCCCCCCTTCGCGTCCCCCCTCCTATATCAGCCCTCGCTGCATCGCCCCTTTAATAGCCGCTCGCTTGCTGGTGGCTGCTCTGCTCGCGCCTGGCGACGCCGCGGTTCTCCTGCCGCCGCCAGACGAGAAGGCGCGCGCAGAGAGCGACGTCCCCGGGAAAGAGCGAGGGATCCTGCCGGGGCTGGTTGGCGATCTCAGCCGCAGCTGCCTCCTTCTCTCGGCCCCGCTCTTCTGGGACTTGCTAGCGCGCTTCTCTTTCCCCGAGGCCCGCCCGTTGCGCATCTGCTCTGCCGCCGCCTGCTGCTGCTGCTGCTGCAGCCTCGGGCAGGTCGTGATGTGATCGGCGGCGCGTCCTTTGGGGGCCAATCCCCAGCGGGAGGCTCAGCACGACGGAGAGGGTGGTGGAGCAGCGGGCCAAGGGCCGCGCCCCCATGAAGGAGAAGGAGGCGGGGGCGGCCGGGGAGCGGGGCAAGCCGGCCACTTACACCGGGGACAAGAAGGCGCGCATGGCGGCCAAGACCAACAAGAAGTGGGTGCGCTTGGCCACCGTGCTGGCCTACGTACTGTCTGTCTCCTTGGCCGCCATCGTGCTGGCCGTCTACTACAGCCTCATCTGGCAACCGGTGAGAGGCGGCAGCCAGCAGCATACCCAGCCCCAGCAGCCCGAAGGGCCCCTCAGCCCCGTGGACCCCGGATCCAACAACGGAGAGCGCCCGTCGGCGCCGATCGAAGGCGGAGGTGGCGACTCGTCTGCACCGGTGAATCCCGGCGACAGCTCAAATCCTTAAGGACTCGCTCCGGCCCAGGAGGCCGATGGCACAACTTCCCCGACTTATCGGACGGCACCGGCGGCATCGGAGCCCCTGATCGCGGAGGACAGGAGGCCGCTAGTGGGAGAGTCGCGCAGCCGCCGCGGGAAACGGGACCCCGGACTCAAATGGACTCGGCCCGCGCTCTCTTGCAACCGCGCGGCCCCGCCACAGGACCCGGCAGGCCACTGTTGTGGACTCCGAGGGCTTGGGGCTCAGAGACGCCTTTCATTTACCTCGCCCTCTCGGCAAGACTCGGGCAGGGAAGACTGTAACGGTGTTAGCTTTTTTTTTTCTCTTCCAAATATGGTTTATTAATCAATAAATACTGGGGGAACCACGTGAAATGGAGCTCAGGTATGTCAGCCTCTCTGAAATGTACCCGATGCATTTCCTTTGTATTCTTGTGTATAAATTCTTTGTATACAGATGCACTTAACTAATGCATAGAAAAGAGCTATATAGTCTATATTCTGTACACACGTGTATTGGCAGAGCAGATGTAGAATGGTATTCAAAGGGCTATTGTGGGGGAAACTTACTATGAAATTCACATCCAACCTGGGGCAGAAGTTGGGGTGGCTTCCCTATGTCCCAAGCCCAGTAATTCTGACTTGACCCTAAGTTTTACTCCTGTTTGCTTCACGTGTATTTTGTTAGACATGGGTTTCTTGATTTTAAACAAGAATGAGCACTGGATGTCATCTTCTGCTGTAAACATGGTCAGAAAAGAATTTATTTCAGAATTGTTAATGTTCTCACGCTCCAATCTTATGTCGGAAGTCACGGGAGAGTAAATTTGTCCCTGGCCGTTCTTAGCAAAGCTACATTGGATTTGATGCTCATTTAATTAGTTCCGTGCTATTTTTGTTGTGCGATAGTTTGTCTCTCTCTTCAGTCTCAAACCTTGAGACTTTAAATGGGGTAACCCTAAGGTTTAGACCTTCCAATATCACCATTCTCTATTTGGATCAACTTCACTTTTTCTTCCAGCAGTGAGTAAAAAAAAAAAAAAAGAGCTAAAAGAAGAGATTTCTGAGTCCCCACATCTTCCTTTTTCATTCTCCTTGATCTTTGGGACAACTGCTGGAGCTTCTTGGAACAAGTAAATTGGATATTTAATACTATGCTGGTATAACTGTAGGGGCTGCAGACCAGAAATGGTGAAAGCCAGCCCTATTAGTAGTTCCAGCATTACATCAGTAGTAAAGCAGCTATGCAACCTCCTTCATAAGTAGTTCAGCCTTTCTCAATCAGGCGCCTTCAGATGTGTTGGATAAAAATTCTTGTCCTCCCCAGCCAATTGACTGGGTTGGCTGGAATGATGAGATTTGTAGTCCTAGACAACTAGAGGTAATAGGCTGAATAAGGCTAGCCTACTGACTTCCCTTGGACTAGCTTTAGAAGCCTTGTTTTTTAATATATATTTTTATCTTATATATTAGAAATTTAACTTACAGTACAAGCTGACACCTTTCATCATATAGCTGAAAGATTTAATGATGCTGAAAGGCTAAAGCACACCATTCAGGCATAGCTGATATTCAGGCTTATTTACAAATCTTTTTCTTACAGAGCTCATAGTGTACATTTTGCTAGATTAATTTTCTTGTCATGGGAAAGTGAGAAATCCTCCTAAAGGCTACTTTGTGCAATGTTCTATGGGCAGATCAGTCTTAGCATCAAACACACGCGCACACACAAACACACGCGCACAATGAATCTTGTGACCCATTAAAGGCTCTTTGCCACTTTGGATGAAGCCAACTAATATGGCTGCCCCTCTGGAGTGTATACACTTTGAATGTGTCACAGATATGTTTTATCTGGTATGAGTGTTCAGGTCAGATAGCAACTCTGAATGTCAGCTACTAATCTGTGAAATTACAACAAAAAATATTCCTAGGAAAATATAATGTATGAAGTAGCCCTTAGTTCACTGGGCACCAGAAAATAAGACAGTGAAAACACGTTGTGTAATTCTATACATGTTTATTTAGAAGCAAGCCTGGGACTTTACCAGCACAAGCTTATAATCTTAGTTGGCTGCTTTCATTGTAGTTTGTTGCCCAATGAAACCAGGGGTCCTTTCTGGAGATATGCCTGTGGGGTCGGTTTCTTGAATTCAGCTTATTATTCCATAGCCAGTAACTAAACTGGGTGATCCCCAAAAGCCAATATTTTGCAATGAAGAATATGATAGTAGGAGTTACAAGGGAAGGCCAGAAGACTTTAAGGGAAAATAAAAGACAAAAATGCTATCTTTATTCTAGTAAATAAAAAATATGTGCCCTTAGAGGAATTTCCACTATATTTTTTATATATGTTGTATATTTAAAACTGTTAGTCATGTATTTTAAACAAGCAAAGACACTTGATGTGACTTTGGAATTATTACATTCTTGGAAAGAACAAAGCAAAATGTTGAGAAAATTGCTATAATGTCTAAGCCATCCAGCCACTTTACTTTGTATTGTTGTAAATGAACATAAGATTTAAGTTTAAGGTTGTAAACATGCTCTAATGTTGTCTGTATCTAATTCAGCCATGTAAGCTATGTCTGCATTCAGAAGTTCTGTATATTTTTTAAAAAATATTTTTAAGGTTAAAAAAATACATTGAGAGATTTCTGCCTAAAAAAAATCATATTGTTTTAGTTTTATTTTTTTTAATCTCATTCATTCAGAGAATGTTAGCATGTCATTTCTGTTTACAGGTATAGTAAATGGGAGCGCATTTCTTCGCAGGGAGCAAATTGCTTGCTCTTTCAGTTTTGGATCTGAAAAACAGATGCGTACTGTATATACTTTGATATTGTATATATAACTCTAAACAAAATGGTGTTTCTGTTATTGTGGAGAGGACACACATGGCAAGGAGGGAGGTCCTCTTTTATCCAAAGAGCAAGCAATGCCAACTTTCTGGGCATCTACTACCAGAATCAAAAAAAAGTTGCACTTGAAAAGAGGAAATTACACTTTTGTAGCTGGAATAAACCTACACTTGACCTGTAAGTTGTGGCCACAATGGTTAGTATGCCTTACTTTGCAAGGCTTAAGCCATAATCAGAAGAATAATAAAGATGTTGCCACTTAATTCCATTTCCCATCTGAAAAATGCTGATGGTTTCAACCTGTAGATATATATGTAGGAGCACATTGCAGTTTCCCAACATGTCTCTGTAGAGGACATATGGAAAGATTACCCGGTGATCTTGCACCGCTTTCTGTCTCTCAGTCCAGCTTCCTTCTTAGGATTGTAATGAGGATTAAATAGAAAAGAGGAAAAAAAACAGTTTGGTATCCCAGGCACTTTTGAGGAAAGGAGGAGCACAAAGATAACTGTAAAAATAACATTATTTCTTCTGCAAAAAAATCGTACACAAATGGGGCCTTATTACGTATACTTATGTTCTAAGAGGGATTAGACCTTTGTACATTTCAGACAAGAGTCCGTTCTTGGGAAATTTTGCCTGAATGATCTGGAATTCATATCCTCTTGCTTTCAAAAGAGATTTGAGTGGGAAAGAAAGGAAATAAGACTCATCAGGGTCAACCCCATTGGAGCATCAGTTTACAGGAAATGTATGTTCCCAAGATCCCATGGGAGAAGTCAGCCCTCCCAAGTTACAGCTTGCTTTATGCGCTTCCAATTTGTTTCATGAAGAGTCTGCTAAAACTGGGATTCCATTGCGAACGGTGGTCCACAGAGGCAGTAGATACTCTGGGCAGCAAGAGCTGATAAGCATATTTCCTCTTAATAGGTAACTGCTTGCTTTCTGAAAAGTTGTTAACAAAGCAGTTAATGACAGAAAAAGAGAAATGCAATCAATGTTAAGTCCTAGACCAGGGATAGGCAACCTTGGCTCTTTTATGGCTCGTGGACTTCAACTCCCAGAATTCCTGAGCCAGCTAAGTCCTAGACTTAACAACAGTTTGTTTAGTGACTGTTCAAAGTTACAATAGCACTGAAAAAAGTGATTTGTGACTGACTGTTTTTCACACTTACAACAGTTGCAGCATCCCAGTGGTCACGTGATTAACGTTTAGATGCTTGGCAACTGACTCATGATGGTTGCAGTGGCTTGGAGTCATGTGATCATCTTTTGTAATCTGCAAAGTTCACGGGGAAGTCGGATTCACTTAACCATTTTACTAGCTTAACTGTAGTGATTAACTTAACCAGCTGTGACAGGAAAGGCTGTAAAATGGGGCAAAACTCACTTAACAAATGTCTCACTTAGCAATGGAAATTTTAGGCTCAATTGTGGTTGCAAGTATACACTTTCCATTTTAAAAATGACTTTTAAGCAAGATAGATGGATTCAGATAGAAATGAATATTTGGGTGGAACTTTGGGGTCCTTGGTGCTCCCTGATCTTGGTGTTTTCTTGCAGATGTTTTATTATCCAACTAGGTAACATCATGGAATATACTTCCAGAAAGTCTGCTTGCTAGAAAAAAGCAGTTTGACCTATTATAAACTGGGTCAAACCCACTGACTAACTATAAACAACAATTGCATGTTTTAAACCAGAAATGAAGAGTGTTCCAGACATTCCTAAGCTTAATACATTCCCAATATATCTCCAAGCTATTTTCTTAATATAAAAACAAAAGTCTGTTCCCATAATTTTGCATTGCTTCGTGATGGTCTACAATTAATGGCAAGACTGATGATGGAAGTAGAGTTACACAAATTATTTTTTAGAACGCAGTTCAAATTGGCATGGATTATTGTATCATAGCAAAATGGTTAAAATTACATGTTAAGAAGATGGGGGATAGTTGCCTTCGAAACTGGAATTCATTGTGATCACGATGTCTTTTCTAAAAGTTTTTCATTTTGCTGAGATGTTCTGATGGAACATAGAAGTAATTGTTCTTTATTCATGTATCTCTCTTTCCTTCCTCCCTTCATTTTATTCTTAGCAGTTGAATGTCCCTTTTCTTTCATCCCATTTAGACCGTTGAACTAAT